GGGGCCTTCAAAAGAAACAATATTATTAAAAGAAGAAGAAAAACTTGAAAATGCATCACATTTCAATCTGTTTTTATTAAATATCTCCAACAGACCCATCTACATATCAAGCAGCTTCACCTAGGAGCTAAAAATCAGATCTTTACAGTTCATCATACATTCTAATATTACCATAAACTAAATTGTCACAAAGCATTTGTTGTGAATTTGTTCTGTCTCTTTTCTGAAGTGTTGAAAGCTAACCAACTGTTATTACCTTCTAGTACAATTACATACTAACATTTTAACATAACTCCATAAAGCTGAAGCAAAGAAATATGGGTTGGTTGGTCTTTTCTTTTAAGAAAACTCTGCACAATCCCAGATATTTACATTTTCTCTAAAGGCTTCAGAAGGCAACAATTTATCTGTCAATAGTTGTTGTGAAATATCCTGAAATGTGTCTATATTACAATTTTAATGTTGAAATCAAACTGACTTTTTTTTTTGTTTCTGAATCGTGTCCCAAACATGTCTGTTTGTGTCTGTTCAGCAGCTTTGAAATAGTTCATTATCCACGTCCCGCAGGTCTTGACCAGCTAGACGTGATGGGCTGGTGCATGTGATGTTGTTGTATATGGTGATAGTTGTGTCGGGTTCTTCACCCTCCGCGTGGGTTTCCACTCGTCGAGGTATCACCAGTGGGTTTCTCAAGCTGTAGTTTCTGAGTGGGAGGGCGCTGCAATCACATCTCCACCGGTTTCCAGACAGCAAAAGTTTTTCCATACCGTCGGAGAAATCAGGGACTAAATTCGTCATGGCGTTCGCTCTCAGGTCCAGATAGCGCAGCCTCGGAAGCAGCTGCTTTGTGCCGTTCTGCAAAAACTGTCGGCAATCATTGTTGGACAACAGCAAGTACTCCAAATTCTTGAGGCCAGAGAATGTGTGGGTCGTGAGAACCTCCAGCTTGTTGAAACTCAAATCCAGTCCCAATAGGCCGACCAGGTCTACAAAGCTCTGATATTCCACCACAGAGATATTGTTGTGTTGCAAGAAAAGCCTCCGTAAACCAGACAGTCCAGTGAAAGCTTGGGCTGTGATCCTTGTTAGGCAACCTCTGTCCAAATGCAGGCTGTGCAGCTTTGACAGACCTTTGAACACCTGGTCTGGCAGACTGTGGAAGCAGCTTCCAGACAGGTTGATGACAGCCAGATGAGAGAGGCCCGTGAAGCTGCCCACTTGTGCCTCCTGCACTTGGTTGTGTTCTAGCTCCAGGACCTCCAGATGACCGAGCCCTTCAAAGATTCTCTCCCCCAGAGCTCGAATCCTGTTGTAACTGAGTCGTAATTCTTCCAAGTATTGAAGATCGCGGAAGGTCCTGGGTCTAATTCCAGTGATGGAGTTGTTGGAAAGACGTAGTACATGAAGACTGTGCAGGCCCAAGAAAGTGTCGTCATGCAGAGAAGTCAGTTTGTTGTTTGTCAGATCCAGCCATCTGAGTGACTTCATGCCTACAAAAGCTCTCGGTACCACCGTCACAATCTGATTCTGGGCCAAGTAAAGCTTTTGCAGCTTAGTGAGTTTAACAAACACATTAGCTTTGATGACCTTCAGATAATTTCCAGTCAGATCCAACTCTTTTAGCTCGACAAGATTTTGGAAGAGCTGCGGCTGCAAGTAAGCAAGTCTGTTCCCGGCGAGAATGAGCTCTCGTAGGCCTTGCAGGTCATGGAAAGCTGTTTCTGGCAAGACTGTTAGTGAGTTCCACCCGAGGTTGAGAAGCCACATGTGGGAGAGTCCTGCAAACAGTCTTTCCTCAATGCGGCTGAGCTGGTTGTTATGCAGACTAAGTGAAGCGAGGTTAGGCGTATTCTGGAAGATTGTACCTGGTAACACCCGGAGACGGTTTCGCTCAAGGTGAATGTGTGCAAGCGACCGAAGGCCTTTAAGAGCCTGAGGGTCGAGTGTCATCAGCTGACCACTCTGCAGATTTAAAAAGTCCAGGTTGGTAAGATCCCTGAAAGACGCTGCTGGGAGGGAGGTGAACAGGTTGCCGTCCAGCCAGAGAGAATGGGTGGATGGTGGCATATCAGTTGGTACTTGTGTGAAGTTACGAGCGCTGCAGTACATGTTGAGCTCCAAGCTGTAGTCATCGTGCAGACAGGTGCACGCTTTAGAACAGGGAATGGGTTCCTCAGTCACCTTCTCTCCTGCTGTGTCTGGGTCTGGCAACACCAGTGATATCCCCAGTACCCATACTACCAACAGCACAAAGGTTTGCATACCAGCTGTGGAAGGAATATTGACATAAAAAGATAAATACTCTCTACATTCAACTCAGAATACAAAATGCAGCTAAAACAGGAAACCTTCCTATTTATTTGATTTTTAAATTACATTTTCAGCTCTAAATCTTAAATGCCAAATTAGATTGCTTACCGTCAGTCTCAGAGGTCTCACTTTAGGGTGTTCAGGCTGTGGAATACTGAATGACTGACCCTTGTGCAATTGTTTGTATACTGAATGGAAACTCTGCCAAGCCCCCAAACCTTTTTTTTTAAAGTCGTGCACTGAATGTGTACTATTAACCCATTCAGTTCCATCAGATTTCTCTGTAAAGTAGGGAGTTTTCATGTTCTGAACCTTTTTCTCAGAGTTTATATTTCCTTGGCTGCCTATCACCAACATCAGTGCCTGATTCTGTGCCATAATCTGAAGTCCTTAATGACTGCACGTTTACATAGTGTATAAAATAAGAAGATATTTAATTTGCTTCAGTAAGATGTTAACTGTACTGAACTTCAATTCTAAGTGTAGTATTGTTTATACAGATACATCAGTTACTCCTAACTGTTCTCGTATATACTTCATTATCAGTGCAAAAAAAGGCTTTAAGATTTAGTGGCCTTTGGTGTTTACTAAAGTCAGGGTCCTGTCACTGAGTGCGTTTACTGTAGATTTAACTGATATACAGTGGAAAAGAGATAAGATGAACCCAGTGCACTTGACCCTTGACTGAATTTATTACTTTATCCTTTATTTTTTTTCTAGCTATACTTAACCCTTGATCAAGAAAGCATTTGACAAGAGGTAATGTGACACAATCTATCAAGCTATCAAGTGTATACTTGATATCAAATATTGATTTAATCTTCCCTCTTGCCTTCATGTTATGTTTGAATAAAATCAACCGTACACACCCATCTGCATAACAACTGCATGTATTGGACGCTTCAGAGAAGCTGTAACCCCTGTGCCATTGCTACTTCTTGTACTCAGTTCACAGGGCAGAATGAGTTCAGTTTCAGAGGTCCATTTCCTAATCACATCTGTGATTGTAATGACTAACTTTCTGTTTACTCTTTTTCTTGGTATCTCAGTTCTTTAGCCAACCATGAACTGGTCATGCTCGAAAGGACAACAAAATCCAGATAGTACTGTGTGCTCGCACATAAATTTCATTGATTGCTTTGCCAACAATGTATTCATCAAACTACGAAGAAACATTATGTTAACCATATGCGCTAGGTTTCTAATGTCAAATCAGATCTGCTCCACTGATGCTCTGAATAAATAGACAAAGTGTTATCTGATAAGTGGGGAATGTGAGGCACAGCACTTTCTTAGGTTCGATTAAGCTACACTAGATTTACTTACAGTTTCATTACTTTGCCAGTATTTTCGATTTATACAAGAGTGATGATCTTTTTAAAATTTTTTTTAAGGAGTATTCCAATTCAGATTTAAGACGCATGCCTCTGAATTACAGGTTTATTTCCATTTAATGTTAAATGGAAAGAAACCCGTGTTGTGTGTATTTTTAATGGCCTGTGAAATTTGTCACATTAAATTATCACGTGTCCTCACTGAAACCTTTCTTAATTTGCACATAATCTCAGTGAAAGCTGTGAGCTGCACTGAGGAAGCTGTAGAGTCTAATGAATTGTAATTTTTATTTCTCTTGCCAGTAGAGAGCACTGCTGGTTTGTTGTCACATCTTGGTCCAGCAGTTTGGTGCGTCCTATTCCTGTAAATGGATCTCTGAAGCTGCTAAACAAACCTGTAGTTTAATGCTTTAAAGAATCTGAACAGCAGTGATAAGCAGGTGATTTTCACCAATCATATACTGAGTTCATGTTAGTTAACACTATGCAGATTCTTCTTTGGGGACAGCTTATAGGCTGCAGTACACCAGCAAAATGGAGTTTGGCTTTATTTTTTGTTTCATAGAATGAATATCAAATAATTTAACATACAGGGAAGTAAGTAGTTTGACTGCTGTGTCAGTCCAAAAAAATGGAAATAAAAAGTCATGCAGAATGGCTGCCATCGTGAGTTGTTTCATGATTGTTGCTCCCCTGACAAACACCTCTAATTGGCTCATTCCCCGGCACTCAAGCAGACACAAAGGTTTCCAGCTCCTTGTCGGTTGCTGTGGGCTCCCTGAGTGGAGGCGAGGAGTCCTAATAGTGAGTGGCAGAGCCTGCTGCTGTGGCTGTAAATTTTCGACTGGGCTGCGCTTTGCTTCTGGAAGGATAATTTTCTCAAATAATTCCGTATAAATTTTGTGCTTCCTCAGCAGCGGAGAACAGGCCCGAGAGGCGCGATGTCAATCTAAATTGGATGGATGCATGCTGATCAGTGTCAAAACTCACACACACACACACACCCTCCTTCACTCTGCTGCTCTACAAATAAATGTCAGGACACTCTCAACGTGTGCTGCCAAGGAAGCCCATTACAGATATTTAGGATCCACTGAAATATAAACAGTATGTGATGAGACCTGAGATTTATGTAGTTGGGTTACAGTTCATGTTTATGTTTTTTTTCTTTATTATATATATATGTGTATATTAGATTAAAATCAAAATTGTTTTATAGAGATTAGATCAATTATTTACTCATCTTCAACTTAATCTTTATTGTTCACAAGGGAAAACTTTTCTGACATACAGGTTAAACACAGAACGCCCAACATAAAACATGATGAAAAAAAGTGCACACAAATGCAAGCTCAAAACATCACACATCAGTGAAAATATAACAGAAAACCTGAGGTATTTACAGCCCTTTTAGCCTTATATTCAAAACAACATTACCATAATCTACTGGTAACAACAGGACCTGTGATTTTTGTCCATCTGTAACTGGAATAATAAATGATAAACTCACAAAAAAAAAAAAATCCAAGTTTATTTTGGAGCGAGTGGTTCCTTTATTGTAGTCAAACAAACGAAACTCTCTCATTATACTCATTAAAAGCATGACTATGACTTCTTCTTTTTTTTTATTGAATAGGTTGGTATCCAAATATTTGAATACAATTTACGGTCAGAGCTGATTCACCTTTGAAACCATACAACTTTCCCTGCCGCCCTGTCAAACATAAAACCCAGTGTGATAAACCGGCACTAAAAAAGATCTACTAAGGCATTACCTATTGTGCTTTTGTCAAGCAAAGACAGCCAAAACACCGCAGTAAAAATCCCACATGAGCCTCAGATAAGTACATAAAAGCGAGCTGAATGCAGTAAACTGAGCCTCAGGAAGAAATGGCTCTATAATGGAAAAAAGCCCGGCCATAAAGCGACAGATTAGCCCTCCTATGCCGGTGCAGTGGGCCTCTGGATGTGCAAATTGTTGGACCCTCCTGTTGGTCTCATCTGTTGCACAGAACATGGTGCATAGCAGTGCATGGAAGAGTGCCAACAGAATTACTTGCACTTCTGCTGCTTTAACGGGGCCAGAGCATCTCACAAGGAAAAAGGAAGGTTGAAGGTTGCAGCTTTTTTCTTTTTTTTCTTTTTCTTATTCTCTGCTCTGAGCTCAGTGGAGACATTTTATTGACCTAAATTGTTCTCTTTGTCTGGCTTCAAGTGAGAACAATCCAGCTTTCCCAAAATCTTTACTTTCTACTAAAAGACAACAACACTGCCATCCTCTGGCAGATTGCTGGCCCATTATCCCTTCACAGTAATTTAAACCTGAACATAGCAAAACATGTTTTGTCTGACAGAAATGGCTTTAAAACACGAGGTGGTGGTGGTTCAGTGCAGCTTTAAACCTTTTGCCACTTCACCCTTTGACAGCCAGAGACCCTCAACACCCCTGCAGTGGCTATTAATAACACCCGGAGCTCGCAGTCGACTCGCTGCTCTCTAGGAGGAGGGAGAATGTCTTGGCTTTGTCTCGACATCTGGAAGGTGCTGGAACTCAGCCGCTGCTTGTTAATTGATTGTGATCGCTGTGACCGGAGCAAATCATTGCAGCTGATGACCCAATTTAGCCTTTTGATTGAAAAATTTGGATGTGCTGCCAAATTGTATTTGATCCATGTTAAAATATGAGTACACGTGTTTAATACTTAAAAAAATACTTGCAGAATATATAGTGTTGAGTCTAAACATCATACGGTTTAAATGTTTTTCTCAATTTCTGGAGTCTTTTTTTTTGTTTTGTTTTAAACCTGTTACATTTTTACTCACTGCGGGCTCATTCTTCACAGCAAAATATATTCTGGTGCCTCTAAGGAAACAGCACAACCACAGCTGGAAGTGAGGAAATTAAAAAACACTTTTTGGCACATTATAACAAAGGTATGATGCCATCAATCATAAAACAAGAGAAAACTTGTTGATTTAAAATTATAGTTCGCAAAAACTAGAAAAACCTGAAATCAACATTTGTATTATTTTACCAATAATGGAAAAGAAATAGTGCTCTACATACTATAGATGTTTTACTACTTAGACTTGAATTTGTTTCCATACTTATTCTCCTTCTCCTCCTTGCTCTGTGTGAACACAGCCTGCAGTTTGGAGCAGTTTCAAAGGAAACTTTTTCAGTGTGACTGTTGGTCACAGCTGTTGCTGCTTCATAGCTTCTATAAATGGTTTATTTCTGGCAAATGTTTTAATGAGCCATGAAGGATAAAGTGCTTTTGATTTAATTTCACCAATGTAAGTTTAAATTTGGTTAGTTTTCCTGATAGAACTGCACATCACACATCATTTGTGAAAGGACCTTCAGAAAGTTAAAAAAGCATATGATTCGCTCTGTGTTTAAAGTTTCTGGTTTTAAAAAATGTTGTTGAATTTTTTTTCAAAGAAGACGTGCATTTTAAACCTGCTGGTAAGGTTTAGAGCACAGGTGTCGAATCCTGGTCCTCGAGGGCCGCAATCCTGCATGTTTTAGATGTTTCCTTCTTCCAACACACCTGATTCAAATGATCAGGATCGTTATCAGGCTTCTGCAGAGCTTAAGGATGAGCTGATCATTTGAATCAGGTGTGTTGGAAGAGGGAAGCAACATGCAGGACAGGGGCTCTGGAGGACCAGGATTCGACACCCCTGGTTTAGAGGGTTAAGAAAAACGTAGAAATGTGGAGTTTTAGAGTTTCTAAACACCCCCTGCAGTACAAATCAAGTTTTTTTAGCATCCATATGATATTTTTTAATATGTTTTTTGAAACATGTTGAGGTTAA